TTTTATTTAGAAACAACTGTATCTCATAAAAAATTATGACACTTATGGTATTTTCCAAAAGGACTCAGTGTATTTAATAGACACAGTTTCAAATTTTTAATGTAAAAAATAGGCATCAGCCAGGTGCGGTGGCTCATGCCTGTATCCCAGAACTTTGAGAGGCATGGGTGAGTGGATCACTTGAGGTCAAGAGTTTGAGACCAGCCTGGCCAACATGATGAATCCCCATCTCTACCAAAAATACAAAAAAATTAGCCAGGTATGATGGTGGACACCTGTAATCCCAGCTACTTAGGAGCTGAGTCATGAGAATTGCTTGAAACTGGGAGGTGGAGGTCACAGTGAGCTGAAATTGTGCACTTCAGCCTGGGCAGCAAAATGAGACTGTGCCTCAAAAAAAAGTGCCACTGTTTACAATAGCAAAGACCTGGAACCAACCCAAATGCCCATGGATGATAGACTGAACAGGGAAAATGTGGCACATATATGCCATGGAATACTATGCAGCCATAAAAAAAGATGAGTTGATGTCCTTTGTAGGGACATGGATGAACCTGGAAACCATCATTCTCAGCAAACTGACACAAGAACAGAAAATCAAACACCACATGTTCTCACTCATAGACGGGTGTTGAACAAAGAGAACACATGGACACAGGGAGGGGAGCATCACACACTGAGGTCTGTGGGGTGGGACTAGGGGAGGCACAATAGTGGGTAGGGAGTTTGGGAGGGATAACATGGGGATAATGCCAGATATAGGTGATGGGGACAAAGGCAGCAAACCACATTATCATGTACCTATGCAACAATCCTGCATGTTCTTCACATGTACCCCAGAACCTAAAGTGCAATAAAAAAATATATTTTTAAAATGCCATAGTATTTATTATAAAATTAAAGAAGCTTAGAATTAGAAAGCATCTCAATTGTGGAAATAAAATCGTCACACTTGTTGTTAGGGAGTCTACAAAAATTTTTTTTCTTTTGTTGTGTCTGTTTCGATACTGATCATTGACAATGTGGACAAAGAAAAAATTTGTGATAGATGGTATGATTGTCAAAATATTTGAGACTTTATTTTATTGGATCCTTATTTACTTCATCCTTTCCTACTGGGTCTCTTAATATCAAGCCTGGCTAAATATTTTGATGGAGGAAATGTGTTAACAATGAAATAAATATGTCACAAGGGATATGTGCCACTTCCATGCTGAAGCCTTGAGAGTTATTGGTTCATCCATTCCCTACCTGCCAGATTAGTATACCTCCTCCTTAGTTGTCCAAGAATCTCAGAAAATCCTTAATGCTAAAGGAGGGTCTAGTCTTATTTCGAGGACTAGGGCACAAGAGGCAGAAGAAAGTTTGTTCGGCTCATAATTGCCTTTGCCTTCTTCTGCCATGTGGTGTCAATGGGAGAGCCTTGTCCTGCACTTTCGGCTGGATGCCCACCTATTCTATAAGATTGGGGCCCTTTGCTTATATGCTGGGTTACCAGTCACTACAGCACAGCCTTGACAGAGTATCTGAGTGTGAATGTTGCTAGTCACTACAGCAGAGCAGCCTTGCAAGAGTGGCTGAGTCTGAAAGGCTTCCAATGTCAATCACACATTGTGCCCACCAACCTGCCCCCAAGAATGCCTTCAATTGGTGTTCAACCCTAAGCTTGTAACAGCTTAGACTTTCTTTTTTCTTAAGGACTCATGTTCTTTACTCTGATATCCTAGTCCAAGATACCATTGGTCCTGTGCTTCCTATGAAAATGATCTACCATCTTATTCCTTAGTGACAAGCTCTACTTGTAAATGAGAGTGGCATCTTTGGCTCAAGTACTCAAAACGCCCACTCCAGTTTTATATCAGTCCCCTAGGACTTCAGGTGCCTCCTCATTATATATCCACATCCTATATCATACCCAAACTAGCCAAGGTTTGACTATCCAGAAGGTAACTGTATTTTAAATCTATTTATTGGTAGAGGAGAAAATATTAGGTTCCTGTGACTGCTGCAGGGATCATGTTTACCTGTTGACATAATATTATCATAACCTATCCATATGATCTAATAGGTTGAGGATCTAGAACTTAAACTCAGATCTATGTGACTTGCTCTACTAAGAACTTAAACTCTTAACATTATCAGAATGTGCTTGGCTTGCTGATGGGATGTGATCTGAAATGCCTGGACCCCAGGCATTCTGTCCTCTCTATATGTGGCTTTGCCTAAAGAGGTAAATTCTTTTCTCACATACCCTCCTTTGTTTTCTGCAATTATTTTCTGGCCCTTTGCACTGATGATACATTTCTGTGAAATTTTAGAGCTTTCTCTCTGCCTTCATTTTTTGAGATTTTTAATCCACTAAGGAAATGTAGCCTGGATTATTATTCTTTGATGAATGATATGGTGATGAGTAGTACACAAATCTGGTAAGGCTAGGTTGGACACAGTGTCTCATGACATTTTTTTTTTATAATGCATAATCATTTACTTGTAGTAATTGTTTAAAGGTAACGCTTGTTTAAGTTTTTTACACTATGGCATTTATGCAATGGTTTACAGAATTCATGGAATTATTTTTATCAGTATGGGAATTAATTAAAACCTTGAATCTTTGTTTTGTTTGCTTCTCTGAGCACAAGCCTGGCCGGCTGGTCCCTGGGGATTCCCACTGGCCGGCTTCTCTGTGGGGCTCTTCACACCAAAGGCTCACAAGCTCCCATGCAGGCCCAGGTCGCCCCGCAGCTGCTCTGCAGGCCCCGGTCTGGGCATCTTGTGGCGGAAGTGTTCCAAGCTGGAGGTTTCCCTGGGCTTTGCGTGGGGGATGCCATGCGGGGTGAGCAGACCTTTCAGCCTTTTCATCTCCTTTGACAGTTCTTTATGAGCCTTCCTGCAGTTTTCCAGGGTCTCAAAACCCAAGCCATCAGGACCTCCCTCCAGCTTGGGGGCTTCATTTTCTTCTGGGCTCCTTAAGTAGCCGGCGTCCTCAAAAAGTGTCTGCAGCAACTTCTCATGGCCCTGGGGGGTGATCAGCTCGTCAGCCAGGTCCTGTTCCACCTGGTCCCACCGCCGCTGCAGGGCTCCCGGTAGGGCTGGGTACACTAGCAAGGAGTGGGGGTGGCAGACGAGGGGGGTCTCGAACGTGGGCGCATACACACAGGTGTCGCTGCCCCTCTAGGAGAGGCAGTCGTCGTCCCCGCCTCTTCCCGAGGGGCAGCGTCGGAGCCTCGGAGGCGGCGGAGCTTGCGGCCTGAGGAGAGCGTCTCGCTCCGGAGCGGCGGCGGCCACCGAGACCCACCCAAAGGCGCGACCCCACCCCGGCCTCCCAGCGCTCCCAGGCCTCAGCGGCCGCGCCCCTTCAGCTGGCTCGCTCGCTCTCCTTCCCTGCTGCCCGCTGCGCCATGGCGTTGGCATTGGCGGCGCTAGCGGCGGTCGAGCCGGCCTGCAGCAGCAGGTACCAGCAGTTGCAGAATGAAGAGTCTGGAGAACCTGAACAGGCTGCAGGTGGTGCTCCACCACCTTACAGCAGCATTTCTGCAGAAAGCGCAGCATATTTTCACTACAAGGATGAGTCTGGGTTTCCAAAGCCCCCATCTTACAATGTGGCTGCAACACTGCCCTGTTATGATGAAGCGGAGAGGACCAAGGCTGAAGCTACTATCCCTTTGGTTCCTGGAAGAGATGAGGATTTTGTGGGTCGGGATGATTTCCGTGATGCTGATCAGCTGAGGATAGGAAACGATGGGATTTTCATGTTAACTTTTTTCATGGCATTCCTCTTTAACTGGATTGGGTTTTTCCTGTCTTTTTGCCTGACCATTTCAGCTGCAGGAAGGTATGGGGCCATTTCAGGATTTGGTCGCTCTCTAATTAAATGGATCCTGATTGTCAGGTTTTCCACCTATTTTCCTGGGTATTTTGGTGGTCAGTACTGGCTCTGGTGGGTGTTCCTGCTTTTAGGCTTTCTCCTGTTTCTCAGAGGATTTATCAATTATGCAAAAGTTCGGAAGATGCCAGAAACGTTATTAAACCTCCCCAGGACCAGAGTTCTCTTTATTTATTAAAGGTGTTTTCTGGCAAAGGCCTTCCTGCATTTATGAATTCTCTCTCAAGAAGCAAGAGAGCACCTGCAGGAAGTGAATCAAGATGCAGAACAGAGGAAGAATCACCTGCTTTAAAAAAATAAAGTACTGTTGAAAAGAAAAAAAAAAATCACAGTACTTTGGGAGGCTGAGGCAGGAGGATCACTTCAACCCTGGAGGCAGAGCATGCAGTGAGCTGAGATTGCGCCACTGCACTCCAGCCTGGAGACAGAGCAATACTCCATCTCAAAACACACACACACACACACACACACACACACACACACACACAAAACAAAACCATCTCTATTTCTTTCCATCTCAAAACACACACACACACACACACACAAAACAAAACCATCTATATTTCTTTCCATCTCAAAACACACACACACACACACACACACACACACAAAACCATCTATATTTCTTTCCATAGATTTGTGGTCCCTCCATGAGTGAGTTGCTCTTGATTTTTCTGTTCATGGCCTGTTTGGGACCTCCTTTCAGTTTCTCAAATGCTTCCAGCTCGTTCTCACCTCAGGTTTTTCGATCACGCTTGTATTCCTGCCTACAAGACTCTTTCACCTCCTCTATACCAGGCTCACCTTTACTCAGCTTCTAGGTCTCAGGTTTCTTAAAGAACATTTCTCATAAAGGTCTTCCATGGACTTCATCTAAATTAGAGCCCCCTCACCCAATTATTCTCTTTCACTGAGTCCCCCTTACCTTTTTATTATGTTTATTACAATCTGTAATTGCTTCATTACATGTTTACTTTCAGTATTTGTCTCCCTTACTTGGTTGCATGCTTGGAAACTGAGAAGGGATTTGTTTTGTTTACTACCTTGTATGTAGCATATAAAGAATGATGGTTATGTAACAAATGTCAGTTAATATTTGTTGAGACAATGAATGAACAGGTGAATCACTGGATTAGCCCATTGAAGGTCAACTTGTAAGCATGCTACACTTGTAGGAGTGGCTCTTTATCCTGCAGCATCCTCTCATTCCCTTCTCGGTCTGGAGGAGCAGCGTCTGCAGTTGAAATTCTTCTCAAATATTTATTAGTCCTTGCGTCTTAAAAACTTGACAGCTAAGTATCTGTTTGGAGAAATGCTTCTGAAAGGAATCTTCTTTGGTCTGCATGAACACTAAGCTGGAATTATGTATTGTTTTTCAGGAGAGTTTTCTTTAATTATCGAATGTTTTCCACTGGACATCCTGCTTTTTGCATGTTGAGTCTTTGACTTTTTCCTACTGGACTCTTTTTCTGTGGCGTTATAATTTGCTTGTGTATTTTAGCTGAGTTTGGTTTGCTATGCTACAGTTTCTTCTGAATTCTAATTCTTATCTCTTTTGCATCATTCTGTTTTTTTTTTTCCTGGGTCCATGCATATTTGCTGTTTAAGTTGGTAACATTCACAAGGCAACAATCTTATTTTGAGTCACTACTTTGCAGTGACCAGCTGAGTTTTGGCAACCACTTCTGGCACCTATTTTGAGTACATCGTTGATTAATTTTCTGCCTTTTGGTCACTTGTTGCTGGCCAGGGATTCAGGACTGTTTACCCTATTCTGGAGCCTATTCAGATTTTTCCAGGAAGATAGCTGTAGTATTGCTATCTCACCACTCAGAAGGGAAGAGTTTGTGAAGCCTTATGCATTTCAAGGCCTAAACATTCAACTATACCAAATACTGACTATTCAACATAAACCACCTAAAATAAAAGTCATGACATAAATTTGATGATCATATATGCAAAAGTAGAACATAAATAACAGAGCTTAAATGATAACGTTTACTTTAATTTTTAATAAAACTCTATATTAAAAATGGCAGATTCAGCATACTTCACCAGAGTATTAAAAAAGGAAAAGTATTTACAGGGAATTTCCAGTGTACTTTAACTTCATTGTGCTATTTGACCAGGTTAAAAAGTTAGTTATCTGTGGTTTGCCATCCCTTGAAATACTGCATCGCAGACCTTTTGGCCTACAAGTCCCAGAATCATCCTGGACTAGTTCCTAATTTTTGCAATATCCTGAGGTGACACTTTGACCTAGAGATCCCTGGGACCTCCAAAAGCTGATTTGAATCCACTTGCCATCTGTAACTGGCTTGCATTTAAACAATTTGTCCCACATAAAGTAAACTTTGTGTTCATAGTATCATCCAGTAGGAAGTAACACCCTAAAATTATAAAGTTTATTATGATGATTATTATCCAAGCATTTTAGACAGCTCTTTCCCATTCACTAGTACTTCTAAAAATGCAATATAATCCAGTTTCATTAACCATCTCTTAAAAATTAGATCTATCATTTTTCTCTATAACTGTTTATAAATAACAACATTTTCCAATACTAATATATTCAAGAAATATATTAAGCGTATACCTAGTTATTATCCTCATAAAATTATATAAATCTTCCTGATCACTTTTGATTATTCTGGTGTGCAGCACAAATATATTTTCAGTGAGAATATAATCAGCAGAGATTTTGTTATTACTAAACCAATTCTGTCCCAATCTAGTGATCCCTACTTTAAGTAAGAAGAAATGAAGTTAGACTAAATGACTATTGATTGATATTGGTCTCTAGTTTGTAGAATCCAAAGTAAAGGTAGAGGTTGAAAAAAATCGTTACATACTAATATATTTATCCCAAATGGATTTATAAATTAGTATCTAAATATTTATGGGAAAACAGTAGATAGTAAATGGCTGAGTTGTATGAGTATTTTATGTCGTTATATTCCTTCTCTTTCTATTTCAATTCAGCTCTAAAATCTCTTCACTTAAAAAAGTGATTGCCTAGAGGCCTTTGAAGCCAGGGAGGATAATGAAGGGACAAGAGGTTTATTCCCAGGGTCGCACTACATTTGCATAAGCTAGTAACCATAGGGCACTGTGGAATGTCTGTAAATAGATTTCATTACAGAAGTTCAGCTTAAAGGGACTAAAAATAATCCTCAAGCAAACATTTTATATTGCTTCAGTTTCTGCTGTAATAAAAATATTTTAGGAACACAACATTCTATGGGGGCGGGAAATGAAACAGGAGGGTCTTCATATCTTTCTTTTGGAGCACTGTTATGAAATGTTTTAAATAAGACAAACGCAATATTCTTACATTAACAAAATAGTCCTACAAAAACAGGATTATGGCATTCTATATGGCTGTCACTCAGTAGTAAAACAAACACAGATCTCTTTTTCTTTCATCCTCTCCTCCCTCTTCTCTTTCTCTTCATCTCCCGCTCTCCTCATTTTCTGTCTTGGCTTTTTTTTTCTCTTGAACTCTTACCTTTCACCCTGCCACCCTTTCAGGTTCACTGCTCTAGGATACATCCAACAATAACATGCCCGGAAATAATGAATATTGCACTCTGTTCTCCAAAGATGCTTTGGCTACAAAATTTGATTCAAAACCCAAATGTCAGGTTTAAACGTTGGCATCTCTGAAAAAGGCATGTATATGAAATACACTGTTTTAATTCTGATGCAGCAAAAAAATGAATGTTCCATTAATCATAATGAAGCTTGAAAAACAGTAGAAGACATCAATATGCCTAATTTCTCAGATTATTATATATACATATAATATGTGATCACCATTCTGGTACTTTAAAAGGTGAGTAACATATAAATTCTTCAAATAGAAATATGCTGCTGTGAATATTATTTTAATTACATTATACCAATGACATAGACTTTCACGGATTTTGTATGTTGGCTTTAAGAAACTGTGATAGTACATTTCCAATTTATGAGTCATGTTCTCTACCTTATCAAGTCTAACATTTTGTTTATTAATGATGCCTTCATTCATCCATTCAACATTTACTAAGCATCTGCTAGACGTCAGACACTGCGGAAAGTGCTGAGCAGGGGCTAATGCTTCAAGTGCAAGTCTCAGCATTGGATATCAGGAATGTGAGAGGCTAAGTAGTGTACTAGGCTGATCATACCCTTTGGATTTGGGTCAACCAGGGCTCAAATACTACTTAAGAAACTAGTTAGTTGAGCTGTTTAGGGTAAGACACTTCACATTTCTTAGACTCAGTGTCCCATCTAGAAAAGAGGTCAGCATACCTCTCTTGCAGAATGCTTGTGAGGTTTAGGAAAATATAGGTAAAATGATTGCTACATATAGTATACTGATGCTGGAAACATCACAACTAATTTTATTATTACAAATGGTACTGATTTATTTCTGCTCTAACTCAACTAATAATTTAATAATTCTAACAGTAAGCAATTTAAAATATTCATTTGTCAGTGATATGGGAACACATTTTTAGTGGTTTCAAACTGAGTGGTATAGTTTTGTAAGGCAGTTTTGTTTGAGTTATTGAGTAATCAAAATAAAGCAGTTTTATTTGAGTTTATTGAGCAAAATAAATTTAATAGATTTAGCCATATTATCAGAATATTGGGATTAGCATGTTTGAAAACCTTAAGGTCTGGAGATCTGGCATTGATATTCAAGAACTTCTGTAAAATCATTCACACATTTATTAGCCTAGGAACTTACAAATTAGATCACTTTCCACACATAAAATGCTATCATATTTCTTTGATTGCATGTGGCCCAAACTTACATTTCTTCTTAAAATATCGGCCCATCCTCCACATATATTTGTTTACAAGAAAGTGCAAATAATAACATAGTCCTATAACAAAAAACAGAGAGAGAAAATACAGAGCACATAGATGCATCATTTTTCCATGGAAATACACATCTTTTATAGTAATTTAATCAGATAATTTCAGTTTATGTTACTTTGTGTTTCATCATGTTTACTTTTCTAATAACTACAATTATTCTCAGACTGACATTACATTTTTCCCTAGAATAGATGTGCTTAAATTGAAAAAGTTCAATTGAATAAGAACATGTAACAAGAAAATGTAATCCATCATTATTAAAAAAGGCAGCTTACCTTTATCTGGGTGTTAAATAGTATAGATCTATGAGAGCCAGTGAATGTTTTGAAGTCAAAATGAAGGGCATTACCAAGGGAATTACCAATCCACAAAACGAAGTGGATTTGTCACAGAATTATCCATATTACTTCAGAAATAGGTTATTATATCTAGGTGGGGTAAGGGGAAATAGGAA